CAGCAGCGTTCTGGATCAGCTGCAGCTGGAGGATTAGTTGTTTTAGGCAGACCTGCGAAGACACTGTTGCAGTAATCAATGCATCTAAAGATGAATGCATGGATGAGTTTCTCTAAATCTTATTGAGACATTAGACCTCTAATTCTGGAAATATTCTTCAGGTTGGCTTTGTAACTGTCTTTATGTGGCTCTGATGGTTCAGGTCAGAGTCCATCAGTGTACCTAAATTTTGGCCTTGGTTGCTAGTTTCCAACTGTAATAACTCAAGCTGTGTGACTCTAGATTGTTCTTTCAGGTCCAAAGATAATAACTTCAGTTTTGTTTCTGTTCAGCTGGAGAACATTTTGGCAGATCCACACATTGATTTCTTCTAGGCATCTGTTTAGTGTTTGGATGGGTTCAGAGTCACCTGGTGACATCGTAATGTAGAGCTGTGTATCATCCGTGCAATTAAGGTAGCTATTATTATTAATATTATTATTATTATTATTATTATTATTATTACTTGAGCTAAAGGGAGGGGTCCTAGGATTGGGACATGTGACTTATGTTTGCTTCCTTGAGAAGTTATCTTTTCTCTGAAAAAAGGAAATCCTATTCTTCATGTAAGATTTGAACTAGTTGAGTACTTGATAGGAAGCCCAACCCAAAACTCCTCTCGTTTCAGTAATCTGTCATGGTTTTGTTGGGGTCCAATGTACCTGTACTGCCTGTACCTCTGCACACTCATTGAAATCATATTTTTCTCACTTCAGCCTGGGTCCTTTGCCTCTATCCTCATGACCAACAAACACATTTTATGACACTTGTGTTAGGAACGAGGGCAGTGAGCCAAAGCAAACCAGCAAGACCACACCTGAATGACTTAAAAATATGCTAATTTTGTAATATCCTAGTTAAAGTTCAGACTTGACTCTGATTGAGATATTACTATGTGACCATGAAAAAATTAATTCATGCTCTGAAGCCCTTCAATGAACCTGAGTTGCAGCAGTTTTGCAAGAGTGCAAAAATTGAGATCCACATAGCTTGTTTAGCCTCTTTTTCAAAAATATATAAACTAAAAATATGTATTTATTTTAGTTACTTTTCAATTTCAGAAAAAACACTTTATTGATCCCAAAAAGAAAACAAATAGTGCTGTAACTCATTAAATCAAACTTCTTGAAAATTCTTCTATTTGAAGAAGCTGCCAACTGGACACTTTGTTTAACTTTTTTTTTTCTCTTAGGTTGAAGTAGTTTGAAGATCTGAAACATTCCACAGCACTCTACATATAAATTCACACACATTTTGCCAGGACGGAACTATTTGCACATGATCACTTGAGATCCCTTCATTAGGACAGTGTGCAAACAAAACTTCTAGGAGGCAGGGAGGGAGCAGGTGCTGGTGGAGAGACACCTGAGATAAACGTTTCTTTTTCTGTTTAGTGAACCCTCACCCAAACTAAAAAGAAAACCCCTCCATCTGTAATTACTCTCCATGTGGTTTTGTTTGTTTTGGATTATCTCCAAAGTTTTCTTTTTGCTTGGATGACACTCTGCTGGAGATTTTAAAAGGTTTAAACGGACAAAGAACTGAGTCATTTATCAGTTCCATGAAACAAAGGCATTCACTTCTCTCATGCAGCCATTGTTTTGAAAAAAAGTTCCACATTTTTCTACTGCTTGTTCCTGATTTTTCTGGGGCTGGCTGGCATCCTCAGCCTCTGGGCTTTCTGTGTCTGAGAAAAATAGCTTGAGGCATATTTTCGAACAGAAGCCAACCGCCAAAGTGACTGCACACAAAACACCAAAAGGTTTCTGATTTTTATGACAAACCAAGGTTTTGCATGTTAAATACAGCAACAAATGTGCAAATATTTCACCAGAGGAGACCCTAAAAGAGGAAAAGATAAAAAAGACAAAAAGCATGTACTCACAGATCATCTATGAAGAAAATGTCTTAATGGCTCAAAATAACAACATGACCTTACAGTTCAGGAAATTTAATGTTAACTCCTAATGTTTTGTAAACAGTGATTTGTGGAGAAAGTCCAGCAGTTTCAAATCAAACGTAGCAGCTTTCCTGACTCACATCTGTGTATTGTTATTTAGGTTCAGCTCTGTTCAGGGTGAAATTTCCTTACCTTTCTGGTCATCTGGAGCCTCCGACTGCTCCACTGGGTCTGAGCTCATCTTAATATCTGTAATGATAAATATAGCTGATTTTCCTACAGGATTGTAACTTTACCAGGACAATGAAGCACTCAGGCCACCCAGGAAAATGATCTTGAGCTTATTCTAATGCGCCCTCCCCTCCAAACTACTGCACAAACCCCACTTGTAACATTCATATAAGGAGAGTGACTTACCTTAGGATGGAAAGTTTTAGAGTTGCTCTCACGTCTTTCTGTCTTTCTCGGTTTATTCAAGAGGAAAAGGGTGTTGGGGTAAAGAGTTTTGGAAATCCACAGCTGCTCATCAGCATTTTCCTAAGTGGAGAAGCGTTCATCTCTGCTGTGCAGCCTGCGCCGCCTGATAAGCTGATTTGCATGTGTCTCTGTGCGTCCTATCCTGCTTCAGACCGTTTGCATAAAACAACAATAGGGTTACTGCGAATATACAGCACACATGAGTGTGCATCCATACAAAAAAGGGCTGAGTGGAGTCATCCTCAGGGTACTTTGGATAATAAGGTGATGTTTGTATTATTCCTGCCAACTGAGATAGGTCAGCGATGGCGTGGAGCAGCTCATCCCTATAAATTTGTCAGCGCTGATTTCCATGCATCCTTTTTTCCAAATGAAAAGGTTTGACACTTCAGACATTGAAAATGTAAAAATGGCAACAGAATGCAATGTTTTATGTAAGTTAAAAAAAGTCACAATTTATATAGAGTTTAATAAAAAGTTATAAATATGTCCAAATCTTACAACAAAAAAAAAAAAAAAAAAAAAAAAAAAACACACACACACACATGCATATATTTGTATATATAAAATGCCAGGGGAAACCTGCTATAAATTATTATTATTATTATTATTATTATTATTATTATTATTATTATTATTATTATTATATACATTTTGTTGCTTTGTACTTGTGACAGTGCAATGACAATAAATTTTTATTCTATTCTATTCTATTCTATTCTATACTTTCTTTTGTCTGACATTCAGATCATTCTCCAACTGGATGACTTACAGAAAAAAGACAAAGGGTGTATTCATGATTGATAGGTTCAAGTCTTTTTTATCTTGTCTGATGATTTTTCCATTTGGAAATGTGGATTTAATAAAAAAAAGTTTTGTACCTGCTTTTTAAAAAAAAAAAAAATATTAATCCTTAGATTTAATTTATATGAGAATGCTGTTTGTAGTGCGTGTGTAGTATGTATTTTTTCTTATGTTGTAAATTTGTCCTTGGTGCAGAGTCTCTTTGTTTTGTCTTTTTACCTTTGAGTGAATCTATAGTTCCATTTGGCCTGCTGGTACACCTGAATTTCCCCCTCTAAGGGACAACAAATAATATATTTATATTTTATTCTGTTATGGGTGTTCTTATTTTCAAAAGGTATCTTTAATCTGACAAATGAGTCATAAGAACACATTATTTTTTAATGATTGTAAGCGCTTTAGGCCTGATCGACAAAGGCTGTAATGATCCACTGTAACAACAGGGGGCGGTAATGGAACGTCGAGGAGTGGTGTCTATCGTGAAAATCTACAGAAGAAGGTGATCGCTAGGGGACAGTGCAAACAGCTACATCTTTAGTTTGGCCCAGAATGTGGCCTTTTCAATAAAACGCTGTATTACGACGTTCTTATAAACCTACCCGAGCTTTTTTTAAGACTTAAATTGTTGAACGTGTTCTTTGCAAACTGATGGCGATGTTGTAATATGATGCAGCCATTTGTGACGGTTTGTTGATCAGGTGAAGCGGACGGAGCCGAGGAGGAGTCTCCGAAGAGGTGAGACAGCCTCTCGCTAAACTAAAGGCTGCTACATCATGGCCGAACTGCTCTCTGGGGAGGAAAAAAAGCTCTCCTGGTTTTCAGTCAGTCTGAGTTCAGTTATCGGATTTATGTTTAGTAATATGTAAGCGGTTCAGATCAGCGACAGCTCTGTTATTTTTTCTTTTTTCTTTTGACATGTTAATGCCTTCTGAGACTGGGCCCATTCCCAGCTGTCCGTTTAAAACAACTGCTTGTCTCAAAGTAAAACTACTGTAGACTTAATATTTTGTCACCTGCGCCGTATTTTAAAATTATAATAATAATCATTTTAATAATGACGATAACAATAATAATAATAATGGATAAAAACCTCGGAGTCTTGAATGCTGCTTTCTTTCCTAAGTATTGGGATAACAGCAATTGATGTAGTTAGTTCTTCAACAGTGTTACTATTTGAAGTAGTTTGAATTGTTTTACTTTTCTTAAGTCTTGTGAGGGATTTGCTGTTGCACACGAAGAGCTTGAGGCCATCATGTGGGTCACATTGCCACTGATCCACCGTCAGTTGACATTTCGGGGTCAAACGTTGAGAATGTTGTTAAAGTTGAGTTCAGAGTGTAGGCTACATGGACTACATTGGCAGAGCTTCTAGCCCTTTTGTCCTGGGGTCTTTTCTCCAACATGGTTGTTTTCAGGTACTTCAGTTTCTTCCTATAGTCCAGAAACATGACTCTTAGGTTGATTACTATAAAAAGTTGCCTTAGGTGTGAATGTGTTTTAACTGTGTTTCTGAATAAAATTGACAAAAAACCCCAGAGAGGGATTAGAAGATGTGTTAATTGATAGAAGAGTGTGACTCATTTAAGGAGTTTAAGGGCTGAAACAATTAAGTGTGATTAACTGATTACTGAAATAATTGTCAACTAATTTAGTAATCAATTAATCACTAACTGGGTTATACAGAATCAAAACGGCCATTTTCTGGAAGAACAACACGGTCAGAGCAGTAAGTAAGCCAAATTTGTGCTAAAATATATACAATTTGCATTTAAAAAAAAATAACTTTTTCTTCACCTTTTTCAAATTCTTCTTAAAAAAAATATATTGATCTTGGTTTCTGTAATCATTCATAAAAATCCATTATTATCTTATCTGCAGGTGCTGCATGTTTGCTTTATTTCAAACAACTTTTTTAAGTTATTGAACCTGACTACTTCAAACTGGCTGAAATGGATGAACAAAGTGTTGAGGTGAGTACACACAGACTACAGTAGTACTTATTTAACCCATACAACCTGGGCAGGAAGTTTGGCTCATGTCTCAGTGATGTTTGTTCAGCCATGTGGGGAGTTTGATGTTGAACTGTCTTCTTGTGCTTTTTTCAGAGCATTGCTGAGGTGTTTCGATGCTTCATCTGCATGGAGAAACTGAGGGATGCACGCCTCTGCCCCCACTGCTCCAAACTCTGCTGCTTCAGCTGCATTCGGGTGGGTGTGGTCAACAAACCGGAACTGGCCTGTTTTCTCTGCTAAGCACAGTTCTTTAATCTTTGCTTTGAAGAGCAATGTTTCTTATAGACTAGAGAAGAACATGGATGAGGTCTGAGAAAATTATTTACAGGTTTCCTCCACAGTCTAGAGAAGTCTACACAAAACAAGATTTTCATAAGAATAAATATAGGACTAAAAAATAAAGTGTTGAAAGATATTTGAATTTTTATCCTCTTTCCCTTTGATGTTATCTTAAACATCCATTCATCCAACCATCCATCCAGTTCTTGCAGTTCAGGTTGTCTAAAGCCTTATATTAAATATTCTACAACAGTGGTTTTGTTAAATCAGATTTTGTCAGATTGTTTTTGTGCTTGTAGGGATCTCAGGCTAACCTTTTTATGTTCCTGTAAATCCTGTGTTGTATCCTTGTGTTGGCTATATTTGAGCTGGAATCTCTTGTTTGACAGCGATGGCTGACTGAGCAGAGAGCCCAATGTCCACATTGTCGGTGAGAACATTTACACCTTCTTATATTAACACAGATCTTCACTTTCAGCTGTATTTGTCTGAACCAAGTACTGCATTTCCAGCTTTAGATACTGGCTTGGTATTTTTATTAAAAGAAATTTTAAGGTGTAAAAAAATCTTACCTTGTGTTTAAAGCTTTGAAGGCAGCAACCTGACTAATTTACACAAGGTTAATGTTATATTTTGTCAGACGTGTCAGTTGTGAATCAGTTAGAATTTTACGTGCTTATTGTTCAAAAGAGCTCCTCTGCAGCTGAGGGAACTGGTGAACTGTCGCTGGGCCGAGGAGGTCACTCAGCAGCTGGACACCCTGCAGCTCTGCAGTCTCACCAAACATGAAGACAATGACAAAGACAAGTGAGTGTCTCCTAAAACCTGTTCACTTTTTCTTGTTTTATTATTTAATCCTGTGACAGTTTTTAAAGTGGACTTATTATGAAAGATTCACTTTTTGGATGTTTTTATACTTCAATTTGATGTTTTTAGAAGCAGCCCAAAAAACACACAGATGTTTTTTTTTCTACTTATTTTTGACAATAAGTTAAAGATTTTTGGTGTCATGAAAATGAGTCGTTTCAGAAACCTCCCAAATGTTAAGTCACATTCGACTATAATGATTGCTGTGTGCTGGAAAAGAGAAATGTTTTGTTGTTGACTTGCCATCAAGAAATCACTTGCTGTATTTGGGTTGGTTGTGCAGGAGGTTTTACTTTTCAGAGATTAAAGTTATAGAATTTGAAAATGAGTTGGGGCAGGGGCGTGGCAGCAGCAGCAGCAGCAGCTTTTTAGATGTTAAAAAGTCATTCTTAGAGGAGCTCAAAATATGCAGAACTGACCAGATGAAAGTTTCATTATCTGAGAATGATTTTGTGCAAAAAAGTAATGTGCATAGCCGAACATGTTTTAAGCTTTAATACTGAATATTAAAAAGTTTTAAGCTTCAATATATTAGAGAACAGTTGGTCAACTCTACCAATTTTTTGAAAACGGAACACAATTATCAAAAACAAAACAATTGTTTCTCTCTTCACCATCACTGAGCAGATGTGAAAACCACCATGAGAAGTTGAGTGTTTTCTGCTGGACCTGTAAAAAATGCATCTGCCACCAATGTGCCCTCTGGGGAGGAATGGTAATGTTTAGAGCTTTTGTTTTTATGTTTTTTATGTTACAGACTGAATCCTAAGTTATAAATAAATCAGAAGAATCGCATGCACAGATATTGCAGCATTACTCTGTCAACTTTCTCTAAAATCAATTTTATCTAAAAAAAAAAATAGTAAAGTAATGGAAATAAATACCAAACAGAAACCACAAGTATAAAAATAGTCAGATAATTATTCCAGTTACATTTTGAATTAATCAGTAAATATTTCTAGAGGTTGGCGGAATGATAGATCTCTTTGTTATCTGCAGCACGGCGGCCACACCTTCAAGCCTTTGGTGGAGATTTATGAACAGCACGTCACCAAGGTGAAGGAGGAAGTGGGAAAACTGCGGCGTCGCCTCATGGAGCTCATTAGTTTGGTGCAGGAAGTG